TAATGATACTCCTTTTTTATTTTCTATAAATTTTACATCTCTTGATTCAACTATTGAATAAGTGTTTGGGTTAAAAATTCTATATGCCTTTCTGTTTGATGAGTAGCCCATGAATATACCTGAATGTGTAATCATGTCAAATTTTGCTCTTTTTTCTTTTGGTATCCAAAATTCAGCAATACAACCAAATGTTCTTAGATGTGCCACTGTAGGCTTTTTACCTGTAAAGAGTTCTTCAGGTGTTATTTTCAAATTATGTTTGTTTGGTGTTCTATTTTTAGTATAAACAAAGTTATGCATGGCTTCTGCCCAAAATTTGGTGGGAAGCTCTGATTCTACAAGTAGTGTTCTTGTTCCATTTATGATGCTTCTATTAGCCCTTTCTGCTATGCCATTTTGCGGTGGAGTGTAAATAGTTGTTTTTTGGTGTATAATGCCTTTATTTTTCAGATAATTCTCAAATTCTTGATTTACAAACTCAAGCCCATTATCACTTCTTATGCATTTAGCTCTTTTATTCAATAGGTTTTCAGTACTTTCTAAAAATTCTTTGAATATTTCTAAAGTATCAGATTTTGAATGTAAAAATTTAACAAATATTTTTCTTGAAAAATCATCTACTATAGTTAAAACATATTTTGCAGATCCAATTGAGAGTTGTTTGATTGGACCTATCAAATCCAAATGTAGTAGCTCAAGTGGCTGGTTTGATTGATTTTCAGTAACTGTCTTAAAGGGTTTTCTTGAATACTTTCCTTTTATACAGCTGATGCAATTTTCCATTGATTTCTGTTCATTGTAGTCAAATTTATAAACTAATTGATTCTTTTTCATTATTTCCATGTATTGATCATTTATATGTCCAAGTCTTTTGTGCCACACCTCCCATGGGATATTAGTTACTTTGAAAGTGATATCTATTTTATTATTATTTCCTTTTATAAAATATAGGTCTCCTACTTTGTTTGCTGTAATTATAGTATATCCAGCTTGATCAATAATATGTCCTCCTTTTTGATCAAAAATCACTTTGTTATTTTCTTGTACAAGTTTGTTTACGGAAATCAAATTATCAGTTAAACTAGGGACATGTAAAACATTATTTAGTATTAAAAAATGATTCACACCATTTAGTTTCACATTTCCTATGTAATTTGATTTGGTGTAGCTCCCATCAGCTAGAACAATTTTTCTTTCATCAGGTTGAATGTCTTTCATTTGCTCAAGAGAGGATGTCATATGACAAGTTGCTCCACTGTCTAGAATCCAACCTTGATATTTATCTTCCTTTATCTCCTCTTCTTTACTGATTGTGGTAAATGTCTGTTCTTCTTTTACTTTAGCAGCTGTAGCTCTGGGCACATTTTGTCTTGTTTTCCAAGAATGTGTGTTTGATTGTGGTCCATTGTTCTTTCTTATGGAATTTTCTCCTTTGTTTTTTGGGTTGTACCAACAATCATTTGCTTTATGTCCATATTTACTGCATATGAAGCATTGAATCTTCCTTTTAGGTCTTGTATTTTCAAATGTTGTATTCCTATTAAAGTGCACATTTTCTTTAGTGAACATTTTATATGCATTAGGATTTTCTTCTTTTTCCTGAAATTTGTATCTCTCTAGATAAAGTTGTACAATTCTTCTTATGTCTAGAATTCCTGGATCACTAATGCTGCTCAATTGCATCACTATGATATTGTATTTTGTTGGTAAAGCCTTTATAAATGCATCTACAAATTCCTCTTCTTCAATACTGTTTCCCAATATCCTTGCAGTTTCTAGTAATTTTTCTGATCTAAGTAAGAACTGATTTAAATTTTCATCCTTTTTCATCTGCATTCTGAAGAGGTTATTTTTAGCCTCAATTTTTTGTTTTTTTATATCTCCTTCATATCTTCTATGAATTGAGTTCCAAATGTCTTTTGTAGTTTTGCAATTCAAAATTAAACTTACTTGACTATCATTCATTGCACTAGTCATTATTCCTTTTGCTTGGGCATCCTTGATACTCCAATCTGTCTTATCATCTAATTGTGGCGGGTCTTCATATAAATACCTTTTTAATCCCTTTCCTTCAAGGAAGGCTTCTATTCTGAATTTCCAGCTATGGAAATTTTCTCCATTAAATTCAGGAATTCTTATATTTTCCGCCATTTTGAATGTTCTTATTTTAATTACGTACCGCTTTAGATTTCAGGAAAATATTTTATTTACTTACTTTTATCAACCACGGTCTGCTACCAATTATTGGTTTTTTATTATATTCAATCAATGCATAACAAATACGTTTTAATTTAATAAAACTTTATTTATCATTTAGATACAAACATACATATGTAAAACCAAAATAAGAAGAAGAATAACAACCATTGATGATGATAACTATATTTATAAAAATCTATTGATAAAATATTCCGTGATATATCTTAAATTCAACACAAACTACGGAAAAGTGCAGATAGCCTTGGACTTGCTGATTAGGGCTTACACACAGGGGAGCGTGTGTTGTACATATATTAATTATTTGTTACCACACAGAGTGTGTGTAAGCTCACAGGAAAATAGGCGCTAACCGAAACTGAAAAAAAAATGCCTTTGTTCAATATTAGTTTCCCTTTTATATTTTGATCTCTCTCTTGTAAATCAATAAATATAATGTTTAATTAATAATTATTGGAATCAGTTTCATTAAAAATTCTAAGCAAAGTCAACACTATCATAAACGTTACGTTGCATGCCAAATATGACATTGTTAGCACATATAAACTTTACGAAATTATTGTCTGATATTTACCATCTTACACTTTTCTTTTTCAAACATCTATATATATATTTATTACAAAATAGTATGTGTAAATTGTCAACGTGTCAACTAATTATTAACAAATCCTTATTCTATTTTTTTAGTGATTATAAAAATGTTTGTGATAAATTCGTAGTTTCAGATTGGTTTTGGATATTATGGTAACCTTATGTTGTTTTACATTGACACCGGTTCGCCATTAAAAATCTATACCACCTAAGATTAACGATTTTTAGAAATACAAATATACAGTAGAACTTGGATAATTTAAACGTCTTTAATTCAAATATTTATCTTGGTCCCTAGAATTTCCGTTCTTATTTTAAAAAAATTGAATAAATCGATTTTTTTGGTCCCTTAGGTTTTGAATTATCCAAGTTCGACAGTATATAAAAACGGTAACAAATCCTTAATGTGAACAAATGTTACAAATTAAAAAAAAAATGTAAAACAGATTTTATTTTTATTTTCTAAAACACGGAGTTTAATATTCTCTAAACTTTTTTCCAAGTCCTTCGACTGGATTTCCTGTTGATTAGACGTATATGAGAATTCAAAAAGGATGAAGTAACCACATATACGATTTATTCTTCATAAAAATACTTGAGGGAATAGAGATAAAACTATCTGGTATTTTCCAATTAAATTCTATGATACATGTAGAATATATGTAGATACGTGTGACTCACGCCCTCTTGGTGTTGTAGATACCGAGATCTGGAAGCGGAATCGGCAAGAATTGTACGACTACGTGATCCGACTCATCTCCTTGCTTGACCAATCAAGTCAAAACGTCGTAGCCTTGAACCTGCAACTGAATAAATCTGAAGTGACTATAGCTAAGATAATAAATCTCCTAAATAAGTTGAAGGAAAGCATTGCTAAAGACGGTTTTATATTTAAATGTGCAAAGGGAACGGCCTGTGTCGTATCTATTTTATCCACTCCTCTAAAACAAGTTCATTCAGGCCTTTTAACCATTACGAGTGGAGTCGCCAAATTCGCAACAGAAAAATGGATATCAGCAAGGTTTAAAAAGAATAAAGAAGATTTTGAAAAACTCATCAAAGATGCTATGGAGGAAACGAAAAATATGAAAGAATTTACTGGAACTCAAATCGAATTAAATAGCGGGTTTGAAGGCATTTTGAGATCTATAAGAGAGGAGTCTTGCCTAAAGCCATTTCTTACTATGGGTAAGGCCAAAGATATTGTTCAACAAGCAGAAGACTTCAACCGGCTTTTCCGGCAGTTGAATCACTATCCGCAGGTGATAGATCCTAAGATACAGGAAGCGATGCTGGTGATTAACAACATTTTGATCAAGATAATTAAAAATAACTATAAGGATTTGAAACATTACGGCGCCATGTTTACCAATTATGCCCCATCAGGGGCCTTGGACGCTGTGATAGGCTCTGGGATACTACTGGTGCCACCAGAAGGCGTACCGACCATGAAAGGGTTGAACATCGTCCTTAATCTCTTCACTTTGGTATTTTATCTAGAAACAGACATTGATACGGATTCTTTGGTGAAGAAAATCGACAATGCCATCGAAGAACTTGGAGGAGATCTGGATAAAATGAAAAAACTGAAAACATCTACGGAAGAACAATTCAACCCTGATGTTCAAAATATTCTTAAATGTATGAATACAATTACAAGGTCATACGATGATAAACCTCATCTCCAAGAATTGCTTCTCTCAGCTCCAATTGCCAAAATGAAGTCCTACTTAAAGGGACCGTAAAACTCTTTTCATACCATTTCTGAACATAAGATGTATATTTTATATAATCATATAATGGTTTTTCTACTAAACGAGCCATAACATTTTAACTCCTTCACTATATACATAGTGAATGAATGTTTAAATATTTAGGTAATAAAAGGCATATATTGGATTGAATAAAAATATCTATTTGACAAAATTTTGGTTGTCATCATTGTCATCACATTTTGTATAAATATTTTATAAGTTTATACAAAATGTGATGCCCTTGACAGAGGTTGGCGTTCAACCAACCGAAATATTAGCAAATAGATATTTTTATTCAATCCAATATATGCCTTTTTATTACATACACATATATGTATATATATTGGCATAAATAGAATTGATATTTTGTATTCTTATATATTCCTGTTTCTTAACACGGTCTATTTTATAAATATTTGATTATAACAAGAATTTTCGTTAACCTACCATTTTATTCCATTGAAGAGTTTGTAAATTTATAAAAAGTTATAGAATTGAATGGTAGGTGAACAATTTCGTGTTTTATATTCAGAGAATTTTGAATAATCTTTGTTAAGAGATAAAGAAAGATAAGTAATACTGAGGCCAGAAAATGTTTCTTTTTTTTTTTCTAAAATGAAATTTTTATCTTAAAGACAAAGAAGGATAAAACTCTAAAATGTTATTTCCATTTTTATTTAGTATTTTGAATATGGGGTGATGGTGCATATAGCTATAATTTTATTCATTGATAAATGAGAACTTATACAAATGTTATACTTACACTGAATATTTTCATGCATTTTATTATTTTAGTAATATCAAATGTATTAAAAATAATTATATATATATATATAAGGTGTATTCTATATGTATGTTGAATAAAATGTTTATCTTATCTAATGGTTGTGTGCTTGTGTTGTTTCTCAATAAATACAACAACAAAACGGCTTTATTAGGACATTTCCGTCCTGTAAGGACTCGCCATGCATCATTTTCATGAAGAAGGGGGGGGGGGGGGGGGAGAGAAAACATAAACAAAGGCGAGAAGGGAAAATGAAAGGAAATCAAAGTATTCAACATAACTATACAAATTAACTATGGATGGATTTTGTTCTGTAATTTTAGTTCTTAGAAATTACCTTGTTCTCTAACGCTTTATGAAAGTTAAACAATTCTATCGCTATATATTTTTCTCGGACATTATTCTGATTAGCTGAACTGGGTTCACGTAGACTTGGATAATGTTCTTTAAGATCTTATTCCGTTCTTCGTTAACGTTAGTGCATTCAGAGATGCAGTGGGTCATTTCTTCTATGCTTTCAGTTTTGCAAAATTTACAAATTACATCTTCCTTTTTAATTATTTGAATGTGACTTTCTCTTAGTTAAAGTCGAAGTGATTCTTGTTTGGATAATGTAACCTTTTATGTCTAATAATAGGTTCCAGGAAAAAAATTGTTCAGATATTGAATACTTATATAATAATTTATAATTAGAATATAATCTTGTATGATCCATTTTTGTTGAGTCCTGCTGAATTATTTGTTCAGTTTTTGTACGTAAAATCCCTGGTAATTCGTTCTGAATGGTCTCATAGTCTATAGCATTGTTTGTCCAGGCAAGGCCGCATTGGTGGTAAATTGCTAAAATATTCTGTAGAGTCCAATAGGTTTTCCTATATTTATGGATATTTTTCTTAACCTATTCCAGCATATCTTGGGAAACCTATGGTTACTCATTCTTTGTATTCTTAAAAGGTATTTCATGGTTAATTTAGTGGCGTTTAGTGTAAGTGATATTCTACCCGTTTCCAGTCTAACAATGTAGCTAGGGGTATATCTTGGTAAATTAAGACTTTTAATAAAAATATTTTGTAATTGGTCTATAATATTTGCATTGTCAGCTGCCCAAAGAGGATTTTCGAGTTGAAGGCTGATTCTATATATATTCATGGACGAAACATGAGGAAATTTCATATTTTGATGTCTGTGTTTTTGAAGGAGAGCCAGAGACAATTTTGTTCACACTTGGTTATCTCATGTTTAATCAAAAAAGGTCCCTGTGTATTAAATATCTTTCAGAGTTATTTTCTGAATCCCGATATACATGCTAAAAAGTAAAACTTCCTTAAGTTTTGTCCATGAATGTAAATTGGCAAATGATATGATTAGCAAATGTTTTCCTGATTCTCAATTTGCTTAGTGTTTAATTGTGAAAATGGTATGCAATTATTAATATATTTTTTCTTATATCTTTGATAAGCCAGATGACAAACGACTTTGACCGAGAGAAATCTCGAAGTTGTTGTTGTCGTGTCCAATGAAGTGCCTCAGATCTCTCCATGCATCTCTATCACAGCAGTTGCAATGTACTCTACCTTGGAATCGGAAAATGGATGCCGTTACCACGTTAGTCACCTTGGACAAGAATTTGGTCAAATATTCCAAGAGTCCAGGGAGGACTGGTGTGGTCGAACTTCTCCCCCCAGAAATCTCGATTGTTTCCAAAATAAAAAAAAAAATCAGGTTGGTTTTATTATTGAGTTAGAAAGAGTTTATAACAACCTTTGTTATATATACTTCATCTCAACTCTTTAGGGACCCGCTATAGTTTCTTGATATGGAGCTTTCTTGTAACCAATTTATAAATAATATGATCATTCATAAAACTATCAAACATACAAGTAAGCCTTATCAATATAGTTTTCCTTGAAAAGAACGACAGCGGGTCGCCGAATGTCGAAAAAAATAAAAAGTTGAAGTAAATCATTTATACAGATGGTCTTGATCTAAATATTCTAAGAGGAAGCCATATTTCCTGGAAATATCGATGGTGGACTGTTTCTAAACGGAAATATCTTTATTTACGGAGCTGCTAACCAGAATGGTTTATTTTTGAGCCCCGATGGACGCATAAAGCTGAATATATACAAAGCACTATATACATTGCACTGTTGGAGGGGCCTGGGGATATGTGGCCAGGGTATCATCGCCGGGTGAGTCTAGGAGAGCCGGGATGTAGAGGAGGATCAGTGGGGCAAAAAATAGGTTCCACTGAGATTTGAACTCGGATCGCTGGATTCAGATTCCAGAGTGCTAACCATTACACTGTTGCAAAACGTCAAGGTTTTACACATAGAAAAAAACAAGTTGTACAAACATTAATAAATTATTTTCAATAAAGCACTAAAATCGTTATTTTAAAAATGGAACACCCTATCTAATTCAAATAAAAAGATACGTTTCTAAGAAGGAATAAAAGCTGACGATATTCATTATCAAAGAGATATAAGTTTGACAAGCTTTTTGGACAAACGTCCTTCAATTATTATCCGAAAAGATTGTCAAGCTTATATAGCTTTAATAAAGAATCTTGTCACCGTTCCTTCTTAGAAATGATATATCCTGAGATTAATGCTATTGTAAAATGATAGGTATTGCTGATAATTTTTTATATTGAAAGTTATCATAAAACTTCTAACAATTCTATCAAATATAAGAAGTATAAAATGTGTGGGTAGTTAAGAAATCTAAGTTTCTATGCCTTCAGAAATATATACTCTTTTGACAAGTGTATGTGCATTGAACAATAAAGCTTTTTCTCAATAAAATAGCAAATAAAAGCATGTTGGGAAGCAATTAAAACTCATCATCATTGTATTACTATTGTTGAAACAGGTTTTCACACGGAATTTTAAAAATATAATTACAGAATATTTCTACAATGACCTATTTCGAATTGGAAAATATTCTCATTGCAGTGAGATCGGTTGAAATTGAGGAATGAAAACTCTTCAACCACCTTTTTTCTTCAATGTGTTTCCGAAACGTAATGTATTTTATAAGAATGTTTAAATTATTTGAAAATTATACCTGAATGACCGTTATCTATGAGGAAGGCTGATTGTTGTTCTTCTTATGGAACGCTTCACGATTTTGCGTGTCATCCTTGCGCAGGGGCCATGCTAATCTTTCTGTATCGTTCCAATTTTAGTATATGTACCGCCGAACAAGCGTTCTTCTTATGGCATGTCCAGATGAATCAAAGCCTAGTTGACTTGAGGATTTCCAGAATTAAGGATTAAAAATGCTCTTGAATTAATTAATTTAATTGCGCCTAATACAGAGGAAACAAAACAGCAAACAAATTATAACTTAGAATTAAATATTCGCAAATTTACATGTATTATTCTACAGAGTTCATAAAATTTATATAGACAAAGTGGCTGAGGTTAAAGAGTTAGATCATTTAAATCAGGGAACCAACGATGTTTCACTTCTGTAAAGTTCGGACACTCGTAAATGAGGTGAATAGCAGTTTGTTCGGTTTCTCCGCAGGAACAATTTGGTGTTTCTGATAGACCTCTTTTATGATGTGTTGGAGAATCGCCAGCAGGTCTTCCAGCGACACCACGGATTTCGCGATCTACGAAGAAAGCGTACACTGAGGAGATGGTGATGACGTGGTTCTCGAAACCAATTGGAAAGATCCAGGACTGCAGGACCGGAGGCCGACCGATGATGGAGAAGGAACCAATCTTGACGGGACCACTTTCCCGGTCTTTTCTTTCTGATCGATTCCTCCAGGCGCCACAATTTGGAAAGATAAGTGTTTTGATTTATTGTGACTCCATCTGACATAAATCATGGTACATAAGTCCTTTGTTTTTCGAATAATGTTACAAGCAGGACCTTCGTTTTCGATTTGCACCTTCGAGCTTTCTTCGGTTTTGGTTCATCCCGTGCTATCCACTGACTAGACTGGCGTTTGGTTTCGGGGTCGTACCCATACACCCATGGCACGCGCGCACGCAAATGATCGGCAGCCGTTTTTTCATACTCCACCGTTTTACGCCTTTGGCGTGCGTAAGAATGCACAAAAGTATGTCAAACCCTATATCACCAGATAGCCCTGAACGAGCTGCACGTGCGCCTGAAAGGCCCAGCTCCGAACTCCAAGCCAGCGCCGAGATATTGGCGAAAATGAATTTGGAAAAGAATTCAAATAATTTTCAAGCAACCGTTACCAAAGCGAATTCGCCTGCTGGCGGAAGAAATACAAAATTTGCCGCCGCGCACGGCATCGCACCAAAGTCGCCTACAAACGGCGCTGAAAAAGCCCTAAAGAATTGGACAGAAGCACTGGAGGAGGAGGAAGAGGACGAAGACGGCTACACCGTGGTAAATAACAAGAAGAGACATCGTGATTCGGCGGCTATTCCGAATACGAACTCCTACATTGCGCAGTCCAGCAGCGTCAGAACCAGCGGTCCCACCGACGTGCCTCCCCGAATACGCACGACTGGAACGCGGGCACCGCAGGTCCAGGAAGTCAAGGCCACGCGAGCACATATCGCGGACGCCAGGGTGCGGCAGGCGTCCTCCACCCAGGAACAGTGCGTTTACATCGAGCGCTGCCCTGACTTTACTCCCTACCAGTATCTCCAGGCGGTAGATAAAGTGGTCGGCGGAGCAAAGAACATCATCCAACTGACCAGGATGAACGGCCATGTCCTGGTAGGCCTGACCGGT